CTAAAGCACACTTCTACACATTCTCTAATCAAATTGTAAATTGTAATGCAATCGAATTGATGCTCAATGCAGCTATCCAAGACAGTTTAACAAACAATTAGACTGGAGATTGAGAAAGTTGCTGTGATCGGTTCCATACTCACAAACGTCATTTAAGTGCCATATTTGCTACAATTTGTATTTATTTCCTCAGACTGCAGACTTGGTGACCGTGATACAATTAGAGCAGTAAAAGGAGGTCAAATACAGAGGCTTTTGCATGATTTCCAGCTATGCAAATGTTGCGTCTCTGTTAAAAAAACAGACACAGAACAACATGCAGCTGTTCAAGAACAAAATGATCCTGCAGAACATAACAGGATAGTAATATTTTAAAAGTTTGACAGCAACAAAAGAAAAGCTGACTGAACCAACTCGTAGAACAGAGAAAGACGAGTACAAGCTGCATCACAAACCAGTTTCTGAAGATGGAGGAATGTAGTGAAATAATATGTAGGGGTGTGTGAAATGACACAAATCCATTCTGTTTTGTTCCGCATTTCAGGTGACCCTTTCCTTCTGTTTTCGGGAACATTCTTCCCAAAACAGAAATGGAACTCCTGATCCCAAATTCAAACACCCCATCTCCTAATCTCCCAGAATATTCCCAAAAACAAAACAGGGAGAACCTGAAATTCGAAGCAAAAACGGAATGGATTTCTGCCATTTCGAACATCCCCAAATGGCAGACAAGAAATTATAAACAGAGGGGAAAGGGAAAAACAGCAAAATTATAGTAGTAGCTATAGTAGTAGTAACCCTGCCAAGACACAAGTGTGTGCTTTCCACCTATGCAACTGTGAAGCCAGCAGGAAATTGAAAGTCAACTGGGAAGGTGGAGAGCTTGAACATTGTTTCCATCCTAAATATCTCAGTGTCACCTTAGATCGAACACTAGCATATAGGAAACACTGCTTGAACACCAAGCACAAAGTAGCTGCACACAATAACATCCTGCGGAAACTTACTGGCAGCACAAGGGATGCAGACCCAAAATTAGTAAGAACATCAGCCCTGGCCTTGTCTTACTCAACTGCCAAGTATGCCTGCCCATGTAAAGCAGGTGTACATAGCATTGAATGAAACATGCAGAATAATCACAGGATGTCTTAAACCTACACCTGTTGATAACCTCTACAAGCTAGCTGGCATTGCCCTCCTTATGTGCGATGGGAAGTTGCTACTAAATGTGAAAAAAATAAGGTTGACCACTGTGAAAGTCATCCACTGCATGGCTACCAGCCTCATCCCAGCAGATGCAAAGCAGGTGAACACAGCATTGAACTACCACTCCTCTTGGCGTCCCCAGCAACAGCAAGGGTATCCCTCTGGGCAGCTAAACAAGGAAATCCCAACTGGATGGCCCCCCACGAAGGTCTTCCTCCAGGGGCAAACCAAGAATGGGTAACTTGGAAGTCCCTGAACAGACTCAGAAGTGGAGTGGGCAGATCGAAAGACAACCTGGCAAAATGGCACTGCCTAAAAGAATCCCACACCTTGTGTGACTGTGGAGCAGAACAGACAACTCCACATCTGTCTGCTTGTCCACTATGTCCTGCCTCATGTACAGAGGAAGAATTGTTGGAGACAACAGACAATGCCATTGCTGTTGCCTGTTTTGGTCAGAAGATATTTAGCCACCTGCACTCCTTCTATAATGGTGGCTCTAGCAAATTATTTATTTATTTATTTATTTATTTATTTATTTATTTATTTACAGTTCTTATATTCCGCCCTTCTCACCCCGCAGGGGACTCAGGGCGGATTACAGTAAACACATATATGGCAAACATTCAATGCCAGTTTGACAAACAACATTTAACAGACAAAGGCTATTTAACTTTTTTTCTGGCCGCCAGGGGAGCTGCTGCTTTTCATCGTCCATCAACGACACCGATGAAGTTCTTCCGCATTCCACATTCCCCGGAGTCTTCTTTCTTTATGGCCTCATAAATTAGTTAAATTTGACATAGGAATATGAAATAGTTGTGAACTGGAATGCTTAGGATCTCAAGCTTTCCGTCTGATGTTTTTATATTTATTTATTGCCATTACTGTGTACAACATTCTGCTGTAAAGTGAATTTAAACCACCCATTTAGTTACAATCTTAATGTGAGATGTGGTTTCTTGTGGCCTTTTCAGTTAATATTCTCTCTTCCCACAAATTCTCTTGAGTTTATGTTCTTGCTGAAATTCAAGAAGTTCATTTTGGAAGCCAGGATATTTTTGGGATGTTATTTTTTTTTTTTGTATCAGGAGCGAGTTGAAAAATTGCAAGTTGCTTCTGGTGTAAGAGAATTGGCCATCTGCAAGGACTTTGCTCAGGGGACGCCCAGATGTTTTACCATCCTGTGGGAGGCTTCTCTCATGTTCCCACATTAAAAGAGGAGCTGCCAGATGGGAGCTCACCCCAATCCCCAGATTTTTAACCTTTGGGTCAGCAGTCCTGCTGGCACAAGGATTTAACCCATGGCGCCACTGGGGACTAATAGTGTCCTAACACACATTTTAAAGCAGTGAGGTTTTTCCATGATAAATTTACCTTGCTCCACTTTCATGTACTTGGTCAAACCAACTGAATGGGGACAAAGTAATTGAGGGGAAAGGGACGGGTAGACTGCAAAATCCTAACAACTCTGCAGACTGCCTTTTTCTTCCAGGAATAGAAAGTTAGGCCCCTTCTACACAGCTGTACATTGGATTATATGGCAGTGTGGACTCAAGACAACTCAGTTCAAAGCAGATATTGTGGATTATCTGCCTCTTTATTCTGGCTGTGTGGAAGGGCCCAGAGAGAGAAATTGTGGAGAGATCCAGACACTCTTCAGCACAAAAGTAGAAATAGTAGATAAGCAGATGTGTGTTCTTAGAGCAGGCATAGAAATCAGTAGGATAAAGTTGAAGGGTATGTTGGAGCTTTCCAAGCATTTCATGCTGGTGACATACTTTCTAGACATGCACTATTTGTGACACAGTAATCCAGTTTTTACTTTAAATATCACAGAAACATCCTCTGGAATGGGTTGTTGTAGGTTTTTTTGGGCTATATGGCCATGTTCTAGAGGCATTCTCTCCTGACATTTTGCCTGCATCTATGGCAAGCATCCTCAGAGGTTGTGAGGATGCGCCATAGATGCAGGCAAAACGTCAGGAGAGAATGCTTCTAGAACATGGCCATATAGCCCGAAAAAACCTACAATAACCCAGTGATTCTGGCCATGAAAGCCTTCGACAATAAATCCTCTGGAATCTCGGGATTTGTAAATTGGCGAGGCACTCGAGCTCTCTGACTTAGGATTCTAAATACTATACCTCTTATTGCAAATCCTAGAATTTCATGGCTATGTAAATGGAATCAAAGCTGTACAGCTGTACAGTTGAAAGAGCCCCAAAGTTGCTATCCAACTGGTTATTCCTCGGCCGTGGAATGCCAGAGGAAGGGGAAAATTTTCAACAATTCATTTCCAAAATCCCAAGGATTTGTTTAAAACAGTGGTTCCTAACCTGTGGTCCGTAAGAACTAAAATATGGTTTGCTGCCTCACCGTTGCTACACCATTGCAATGAGAGCAACTGGTCTCGTGAAACCCTCTTTTAGTGCCGAGGCAACAGGGATGCCAGGCGGGGAGAGGCTGACTATCCACAAAAGTCGCAACAAGCCTCCCGATTGTTGCTTCTCCTCTCTCCCCGAATGGAGCCATTTCATGTAGTGCTTGGAAGCGGGAGCGCCTTGGTGTCTTCGTTTTTAGGCCTGTTCCTGGGATTATTTGGGGTGTTGATTCAGAAAAGTGCATTGGATAGACCGCATCAGTTCACAATTATTAAATACGATTTTTATGTGGGCAATCAGATGGCAACTACTGGGCGGCATATGTTCTGTATCAGAAACTAGAGCTGATGTGGTCTATCCAATCCAATGTTCTGAATCAGCACCCCAAATAACCAAACGGAATCTGAAGTTGACCAAAAACTGATTCATAAGCCTTTTGGTACTAATGTTGGAGAGTGGTCCCTGATCAAAAAAGGTTAGGACCACTGGTTTAAAAGGAATGGAAGACCCTTTGTTATAGTGATATAGTATCATGTATTATGTTCTGCAGTTGATGGTGGTTGGTGATGGAAGGATTAATGTAAGTATTAGTTCTAAAGGGTGGAGTAATCTATAAGTAAGAGTTCATGGATGAAAGCAATTAAGAGTGGAGCTATGCAAGAGATAGGTTGCAGTTGGGTGTTTCTGGATATAAGGAGCGAGCCTTGGAACTGATCTTTGGGAGAAAAGTATTCTGTCACAATGCTAGGGCTCTGCCCTTACAGAGGCAGATGAACCAAACAAAAACCCAGTTTGTATAAAACAATTTAATTAAAACAGCACTTACTGTCTGGCTGTTTTAATAGTCCAAAATATAAAACATAAAGATAGCACCCAGCAACAGAATACAAAACAAAAACTGATAGCAAACGCTACACCGTAGTCAAAGTGTCCAATCCAGTGGTCAAATGCCAAGAGTTCAATGAGCAAAGTCCAGGGATCAAGAGTCTACATCGTAGACAAAAGCCAGTCCAAAGATTCAAGGTTCCAAGGGTTCAGGAGACAGGTCAGGATACTTAAAATCCAGAAACCCAGGGGGAAACCAGCAGCATCCACCACCAAGATAAGACAAATGCTTTTCTCCCAAAGATCCAAGGCTCGCTCCTTATATCCAGAAACACCCAGCTGCAGCCTATCTCTTGCATACCTCCACCCTTAATTGCTTTCATCCATGAACTCTTATTTACAGTTTAGTCAACCCTTTAGAACTAAGACTTACATCAACCCTTCCATCACCAACCACCATCAACTGCAGGACATAATACATTACATATAGGGAGTTTGGAGATGGAAAAGAAGAAGTCAAAATCATTCCCACAGGCCCCATTCCAATGGGTGATATGTTCCATTAATAAAAGGACAACAACTCAATATCACTCAAGCTTTTTTTAATTAGCATTCATTTAAAAATTCTCTACTGATGGGAATACTCTTTCAGAACAATATCTAGAGAATATCCATCAATGTCATATTGCACTTTCTTGCTTCAGTAGCCACAGGAATAAATTATAAACATGTCATTGCAACAGTAGATTTTTTCGGAGACAAGGAATTGGATATCCATGGTCTACGAGCCTGGCTAAAGAAAAAACACTTGATCAAGAAAAAGTTCATTACCATTTCTTGACTTTTGTTCTGCAATCATTTAAGATAAACTGTCCCCTAGTCTATGGAAATGTGACCATATCCAACCTGCATCTAATGCAAAGAATAAAACAGTCCCAAAATCCTCATTTTAGGCCGATATGATTGATAGCTTGATTTTTGGTATATTATTTCAGTACCTCTGCCTTGTGACATTTTTTGAACTGTGTTACATTGCAAAACAAACAAACAAACACACAAAAAACCACTGGAATAGGCATATTGCTAAAATGACAGTACACTGGGACCATAAGCCAAAACATAGCCTAAACTAGTGGTTCTCAACCTGTGGGTCCCCAGGTGTTTTGGTCTACAACTCCCAGAAATCCCAGCCAGTTTACCAGCTGTTAGGATTTCTGAGAGTTGAAGGCCAAAACATCTGGAGACCAACAGGTTGAGAATCAGTGACTTAAACAAAGGCTCACAGAACAAAAAAAGTGAACTGATAGCAGATAATATTACCCCCTGCTCATAAACACCCGATATATTATCAGTGGTTCTCAACCTGGGGTCCCCAGATGTTTTTGACCTTCAACTCCCAGAAATCCTAACAGCTGGTAAACCGGCTGGGATTTCTGGGAGTTATAGGCCAAAAACATCTGGGGACCCCAGGTTGAGAACCACTGTGATATACCTTTACAGAGATGAAAGAAGCTTATACACAATACAAGCCATATTCTGGTCAATAGAAGAATACGACAGAGATGACGTTCCTCAAAATATAAATAGTTAGTCAATTTTCTTGTTCCTTTTGATGTCTGTAAATAACTTTTTTGGCTTAACTGATTTGGCAAATGCATCTGAACATTATTTCTCCAATTGGGTGATTTTCAAAATGAAAAGCAGCAGAATTAGATGAAATAGGTAAAGGACATCTCCAAAGCTATTTTGCAGACTCCTGGACTGCTTGTACCACCACATTCTTCCAAAAAACAATGTCCCTGATAAGCAGCAGCATTTACTTGAAGGTTCTAGCGACATACGCAGCTTTTCCATTATGTCCTCCCTGAGCTATTAGGCCAGTTTTCCCCTGAAACATCAAGTCAATTTTGTAGGGATTCCAGTTTGTTTGTTTTTCTAAGTGGGTCAAAACCAGCTTTGGTAGGGGTCATTAAAAATACCTCCAAATTATCAGAAAAAAAGATTGTGAAATGATCCTTTTTCAAAGGGTACTAATTTAGCATGCTTGAAATCAAACTTACTATGGCCCAGAAGATATATTTTAAGCTTCTAACTAATCTTAAGAAGCATTTTGACCTCCATATTGTATAATCAGGATGCCACCTTTTTCTGGATGTTTGTTCTTTATTTCCGGTTGGCTTCCTTAATTAAAATAAATTAACAAACTCTGTCCAACACCCCTTTTGGATTCAAAACAATGTAAGGCCCTATATCCCAGGATATGATGCCAAGCTTTCTGTTTATCCCAGATTATCTGGCAGTGCAGACTCATGTAATCCAGTTTAAAGCAGAAAACCAGGGATGAGACCCTGAGGTAAAGGGCTTGTCTGGACGGGCCCGGAGATTCAAGGAATGGTTCTATACACAAACCAAACCACACAAACCGGACTGACTAATGCCCCACCTACACTGCCATACACTGCAGTGTATGGGTTAAACCCTTGTACTGGCAGGACTGAAGACCAACAAGTCACAGGTTCGAATCCCGGGGAGAGCGCGGATGAGCTCCCTCTATCAGCTCCAGCTCCCCATGCGGGGACATGAGAGAAGCCTCCCAAAAGGATGGTAACACATCAAAAACATCCGGGCGTCCCCTGGACAACGTCCTTGCAGACGGTCAATTCTCTCACACCAGAAGCGAATTGCAGTTTCTCAAGTCACTCCTGACATGACAAATAAACAAATAAAATAAACTGCCATATAATACAGATTATCAAAGCAGATAATCCACATTAACTGCTTTGAAACGTATTATATGAGTCTACACTGCCAGATAATCTGGCTCAAAGCAGATAATCTGGATTTTATATGACAGTGTAGATGGGGCCAAAGATGAAGTCAATTATTTTTGGTGCTAGGTTTGAATATTCTTTTTCTGACACATTACACAAATGAACGTATCACAGCACATCTAGAAATATCTTTTAAGGGGTAATGAAGATTCACCAGAAGTGATGTGAAAGCACAACACATCACAATGTGCAGTGAAGGTGACACTCCTTAGCCGAATGACTGAGATTACTGTGGCCTACCAAGTATAGCTGGAACAGTCAGTGGGTGAGGAATTATAGGGTCTGTAGCAGGCATGGGCAAATTTTGGCCCTCCAGGTGTTTTGGACTTCAACTCCCACAATTCCTAACAGCCAGTAGACTATTAGGAATTGTGGGAGTTGAAGTCCAAAATACCTGTCGGGCCAAAGTTTGCTCATGTCTGATATGTAATCTATAACACCTACAAGACCCAAGTTTCAACCCTATACTCAGTTCAGTTATGCCCACTTCTTTTCATTGTTAGCACTGCAGAACACAATCAATATAACTTGGAAAAGCTTGTTGCCCAAATAGTAAAACCCAATATGCATGTTTTCACAATAAGAGAAGGCAAGCATGTTATTATTGTGCAAAATCAGCTGAACGTACAACAAACAAACAAAATAGTTACAGCCAGGAAACAAAGAGTGCCACAATTGCTGTACAAAATTTGTACTATATCTTCAAAATGTCCAGTGTAAACAGGATGTATCTGTGTAGTTCATATGATAATACGACAATAACAAACATCAAAATGTTAGCAGAGTAGGGTAGCGGGGTAAAATAAGAGATAGGCCTCCTATAACTTTAATGACTGTGTAAATAGAGAAAATTCCACAGGTGTTGTCATCAAAAACTCATAAGCACTGACCCCTTATTTCACTCAGCAACTCTACAGCAAAGGGATATTGAAAGTCCCCTAATACAAGTGATGTACGAGGGGTGAATGAAAAGTAATGCCTCCATCTTCGTTACTTAGGTTTGGATGGGAATATTTTAATAAATCAAACACAGAAATAATCCTTAGGATGTGCTCTTTAACTACCACTATTCACTTTTCCACGTAATTATCAGACAATTGGATACATTTCTGCCAATGATGAACAAGTTTTCTGAAGCTGTCACGGAAGAAGTCGACACTTTGTTTCCACAACCAGTGTCTCACAGTTCTCTCAACATCTTCATCAGAAGCATAATGATGTTCCTGCAGATCTTCTTTCATTATCAGGAACAGATGGAAGTCAGACGGTGCTAAATCTGGACTGTATGGAGGATGTCGTACGGTGATGAGATCCAGTCTCTGAAGTTTCAAGTCTGTGCGTTTTCATTTCAGGCATCAGCATCTTGGGTACCCGTCGTGCACGGATCTTCTGATAGCCAAGCAAAGCAATAATGTGACCCACACGTTCTTGTGAAATGCCGATTATGCTTGCAATTTCTCTCGGAGTGATACAATGATCGCCCTGAATCAATCTGTCAACCTTTTGCTTGTGAAACTTGGTGGTTGCTGTCACAGGATGTCCAACTCTTTGTTTGTCACTCAAGTCAGATGTTTCCACCTCAACGTCTTTAAACTTACTCGCCCAACGACGCACAGTACTCAAGTCAACACAATCACCATAAACAGCTTGCATTCTCTGATGAATCTCCTTTGGGGTGACACCTTCTGCTGTCAATAATTCAATGACTGCACATTGCTTAAGTCGCATTGACCGACCGTCTGTAGGGTTCCATACTTTTCACTTTAACAACACAACCGTTCAATGCTAAGGCTTCCTGCCAAAATGGAACTGTAGAGGAGAGTCTACTGAACAAGCCAGTACCTGCCGTGTACCAGTACTGCCATCTGTTGAGGAATAACGATGGTGAAGGCATTACTTTTCATTCAAACCTTGTATGAACATACTGTCGTCCCTGTCCCCCTCCCCCCACAAGTAATTATTCCAGCAAATACATCATTTTGTTCCACGGACTATTCACATTTAGAGCCTTAGGCTAATTGTTCTTTTCCAGAAACAGAAGAGAATATATTGAGATGTTCTACAACGGGTTCTTCCTTTCGGTAGACTTTTTGAATCGCAAACCATCAGTTTAAGAGGTTGTTGACAGTCATTCCTCAGAGTGAGTTCAAAGACACTCTGTAAAAGTTTGTTTCCTCAAATACTTCCACAAGTGACAATGTTCATAATACTTTTCCTAATGTGTCCCTTTCTGATTAACCAGGCTTTGTCAAAGCACAGACTTTATTGAAGTGGCAATTGTCAAGGAGGTGTTTGTAATGGTTTCTCAGGTCACTATACGAAGCAACTTTCGCCCCTGAATGTGGAAATGTCAGCAGTCTCTCATTGAGCAGTATTTGAACCTTGTATTTCTCCTCTGGTGAGCTGGCTTTCTCGCAGTGATAAAGCAGAAACAACAGGTTTGAGGCGTAAGGCACAATGCGGCCACTGCGAAACTGCCGGCTTTCTTGCTTGGCAAAGTTGTCAGCTTTAAGGGGCTCCGTATCTCTGAAGAATCCCATCAAAGCGAGGAGCGGCAGGAGGGTCTCTGCATGTCCAAACTGTAGCATCACAGGGGAGGATATAGGCGTGGAACTAGAACATTAAAAAACAAGACATCAAATGCATTACCAGCAGAGAAATATAACCACTACATAACTATTATAACATAGTCATATCAACAGTTGTAGAGCATTTGCTTTTCTTTTCATGGTCTCAAGATTGAAATTAGCATTCAACTAACCAGAAAAACTTGTGACACATTTTCAAATACAGGTAGTCCCCATCTTACAAAAAGATAGGTTCTGTAGGTTTGTTCTTAAGTTGAATTTTTATGCAAGTCAGAACAGATACATTTTAAGTGCAGCTCCAGACCAAAAAAATAGCATTGGGAAGGTTTAGCATCCCTAAAATGTTTGTTTTGGTGTCTGTGTCCCTTTTCAAAAGATGGCACCTCACTTTCTCTCCCTATGACAATTTCAGGTTGTAGAAACAAGGATTATGATGATGATAATAATAATAACAACAACAACCAGCATAGTGATCTTGTTTGCTGTATACTAATCTTGTTGTGTTTCAAATAATAATAATAATAACAACTACAAAAAAGATTGGGGGTGGGAGCGAGAGAAGAACCTCCCCAGAAGATCTTAATGGCCATGCAGGTTCGTAAGGGAAGATGCAGTTGCGAAGGTAGGCAGGTCTTGAACCGTTTAGGGCTCTATAGGTAATAACCTGCATCTTGAATTAAGACCGGAAACTTATCAGATGGGTGATAGTCTTAGTGGAGATGCCTTTCCCCCATAATAAGGGTGAATTTCCCTTCTTAGGGGTAGATTTCCTCTCCCTTCCTGTTGTCTCATCCCCATTTGTAACTACGAGTCATATGCAAGTCAGATGTTTGTAACTCGAATACTGCCTTAAGCTACAATTATTTAAAGATTCACTGTTGTTGACCAGGCACGTGGACATGGGTTCCTTTTGGATTCTTCTCTTTTATTTGCTAACCACATACCGCTCACTCTTGCCCAATAATCTACTGTCAACATTATTTCCATCAATTTGAGTTTGTGATATCCGTCCTATTTTCCTATTGTTTTCCATACCGAGGATATACTGCACAGAAACAAACTACCTAAAAGATCTGCTCACATAAAAGAAATGAAACCTGGACCAATAGGCTAGTGTAAACAGACAATCAGAAATGTATCCAAGTTAATGTGTTATCTAAGTTAATTCAAAACCACAGATTTCTGGCAACACTTTAAAACTACATGCCCAAATTGCTTTCAATTTAAGGGAACTTCTCCTGATTCAATGGCCCTTGGAGTGGGGGAGTGAGAGTGTTGTTTCAGGCCCTTTCTAAACTGCCATATAATCCAGATTATCAAAGTACATAATTCACATTATCTGTTTTGAACTGAATTAAACAATTCCACGCTGCCAGATAATTCAGTTCAAAGCAGATAATTTGGATTTTATATAGCAGTGTAGAAAGGGCCTCAGTAGTCGTTTCCAGGTTCTGGAAATTCCTATTAGGCGCCTTCTGGGGCCAGAAGTTTAGCATCGCTGGTAAATCATCAGCAATTATAAGAGCTATCAACAAAAGGTTGCCAAGTTCGAAACCCCGGGTTGGCATAAACTGCTAACTGTCAGCCTAGTTCATTGTTTACCTAAGCAATTCGCAAACAGCTTTAGCTGTGATTAGAGAAATTAGGTACCGCTAAAAGCGGGGGAGGTGTTTTACAACACCATAAATAAAGAAGATCAGAAAATGCTGGGTGACCAATAGGAAGAAGGAAGTCCTGACAGCTCTTCGTCATAGAGGATAGAGCAACAGCACCCCCTGGACTTGAGCCCAACCTTCCATGGCACCAAAAACAGCTGAAACAAACCACCTCCTTCTGTTCTGTCTGTCTGTGTATTGTCTATACAAAGCGGCATTGAATGTTTGCTGTGTATATGTACTGTGATCCTCCCTGAGTCCCCTTCGAGATGAGAAGGGTGGAATATAATAAAGTGTTGTTGTTGTAATTATAATTATTATTATTCTACACTGCTATATAATCCAGATTATCAAAGCATATAATCCACATTATCTGCTTTGAAGTGGATTATATGAGTCTACACTGTCATATAATCCAGTTCAAAGTAGATAATCTGGGTTTTATATGGCAGTGTAGAAGGGATCTTAAAATGTAGGTTGCTTTTCCTCCAGAAGACCTTTAGTATTTAAACAAGGTTGCTACTGAAGGTGTTTTAATTGGCCAAGTACCTTTGTTCTTCTATGACCTAGGGCCCTTCCACACAGCCTTATATCCCAGAATTATATGAGTCTACATATGAGTGAATTATGTGAGTCTACATATGAGTGAATTATATGAGTCTTCATATGAGTGGTGGCCCCTCGGCAGAAAATCCCACATTATCTGAGTGTGGACTAAGATAACCCAGCATAAAGCAGATATTGTGGGATTTTCTGCCTTGATATTCTGGGATATAGGGCTGGGTGGAAGGGCTCCTAGATGCTTTTCACTGCGTCTGTTTCAATTATATTACTGTGACCCATCTGTCTTCGGTAAATAAGTCAAGTGGGGGCGGTGCCAGAGTAAAGAAGTTCACGGTCTCTTTTTATTTAGGCAAAAGGTGGTGTTTGGCAATCTCTTTGTTCCATCTGATGCCAACAAAAAAGTCCCACCCACAAACAAATGCAGAATCTGATTGGCTTACAAAGAAGGTGTTTCTCCCAAGCATGAACTCAGGAATACCTGACAATAGACCTTCTGCTTATGTAACAAAGCACACGGATGCGTGTACAAGCACAATTAAGCAAAACACATCTCAAAAACCAAGCAATTATGAACTTAAACACAGAGATTTAAGTCTTATTTCAGCCTTATCTTTAACCATTCTCTTGATCTGGGGTTCCATGCAAGTGAACGAGGAATTCCCTACAGGCAAGGAATGAGAGACTGCTGTTCCTTTGCCAACACACTTTGAACTGGGTTATTTGAGTCCACACTCAGGTAATGTGGGATTTCCTGCCTTGATATTCTGGCCTAAAGACTGTGTGGAAGGCCCCTTAGTTTCCGTGTTAACATTCCTTTGTAGATAAGAGGATGACTTCACGAACAACTCTCTCCCCTCCAGAATTTCCTACAACAGCCTATTGAAAAGGTGGACTCATTCTGCAGATGAGTATTCCTTACACCAGAGCTTTCCAAACATTTCATGTTGGCGACACACATTTCAGACATGCATCACTTCACGACACAGTAATTCCATTTTATAAGCAAAGCAGAGGTTAAACCCCTTACGAGAGATATAGATACATACATAGAGAGATATAGATACATACATAAACTGTAATAACTAAATGTAACTAAATGTATGGAGACACCGAAGATCTCATGCACACCTAAACACAACGGTAAATCTGGCACTGCATGGATGGATGTTGATAGATAGATTTGTATATGTATATGTGTGTATACACACATACACACACACAGTGGGGGAGGGGGGGGAAGTATATACTCAGATACCAATTATACAAGATCTCCCACTTCAAAAGATGAGAGGCCTGTAATTGACATCATAGGTAGGCCTGAACTATGAGACAACATGAGAAAACACATCCAGATAATCACATTGTCTGATTTTTAACAAATTTATTTGCAAATGATGGTGGAAAATAAGTATTTGGTCCATAACAAAAGTTTATCTCAATACTTTGTTATATATCCTTTACTGGCAATGACAGAGGCCAAAAGTTTTCTGTAAGACTTCACATGGTTGGCGCACACTGTTGCTGGTATGTTGGCCCATTCCTCCATGCAGATCTCCTCAAGAACAGTGATGTTTTGGGGCTGTCACTGGGCAACATGGACTTTCAACTCCCTTCAAAGGTTTTCTTTCGGGTTGAGATCTTGAGACTGGCTAGGCCACTCCAAGACCTTGAAATGTGTCTTACGAAGCCACTCCTTCGTTGCCCTGGTGGTGTGCTTGGGATCATTGTCATGCTGAGAGACCCAGCCACGTTTCATCTTCAGTGCCCTTGCTGATGGAAGGAGGTTTGCACTCAACCTCACGATACATGACCCCATTCATTCTTTCATGTATACGGATCAGTCGCACTGGTCCCTTTGCAGAGAAACAGCCCCAAAGCATGCTGTTGCCATCTCCATGCTTCACAGTAGGTGTATGGTGTTCTTTGGATGCAACTCAGCATTTTTTCTCCTCCAAACATGACGAGTTGTGTTTCTGTGAAACAGTTCTACTTTGGTTTAATATGACATTCATATGACATTCTCCCAATACTCTTCTGGATCTTCCAAATGCTCTCTAGCAAACTTCAGTTGGCCCCGGACATGTACTGGCTTAAGCAGGGGGGGCACATTTGGCACTCCAGGATCCGGGTCCCTGGTGGTGGTGTAGTGTGTTACTGATGGTAGCCTTTGTTATGTTGGTCCCAGCTCTCTGCAGGTCATTCACTAGATTCCTCCATGTGGTTCTGGGATTTTTGCTCACCGTTCTTGTGATCATTTTGACCCCACGGGGTGAGATCTTGCATGGAGCCTCAGATCGAGGGAGATTCTCAGTGGTCTTGTATCTGTTCCATTTTCTAATTATTGCTCCCACAGTTGATTTCGTCACACCAAGCTGCTTGCCTATTGCAGATTCAGTCTTCCCAGTCTGGTGCAGGGCAACCATTTTGTTTCTGGTGTCCTTCGACAGCCCTTTGGCCTTCACCATAGTGGAGTTTGGAGTGTGACTGCTTGAGGATGTTTCAGGTGTCTTTTATACTGATTACAAGTTCAAATAGGTGCCATTACTACAGGTAAAGTGGAGGACACAGGAGCCTGTCTGTGAGACCCAGAAATCTTGTTTGTTTGTAGGTGACCAAATATTTATTTTCCACCATCATTTGCAAATAAATTTGTTAAAAATCAGACAACGTGATTTTCTGGATGTGTTTTCTCATGTTGTCTCTCATAGTTGAGGTCTACTTATGATGTCAATTACAGGCCTCTCTCATCTTTTTAAGTGGGAGAACTTGTACAATTAGTATCTGACTAAATACTACCCCCCCCCCCCACTGTATATATATAGCATGAACATGTGCTCAGTGTTCATGTGTAAAGCACTCTTCAGGTGAAAGCAAGTCTGTCATATTCCTCCTTTTCTGAAATCATAAAGAACAGCAGGGACAGCAGAACTAGAATTAGAAAGCTAAACACTGCATTGCCCCTTATGCTGCCTCTATTTACTACCTGCTGTCACCGTGAAAACAACTAATATTATTAGCATGCTGTTTGTAAAAAAAATAAAAGCAAAAACATAATATTTTGATATTGGTTGTCAGCTGATAGCTTAGCAAAGGAAGCCACTGGGTTTGCAAGTACACTTTGATAACTATGCTCATGGGACAAGTTTCAGAGCCTTAGATGACCTGTCCTACAGTATCAGTAGTTTGCTATAAAGACCACTGCTGGCATGAAGTTTTGCCAGTGAGTCTGTCACCTTAAACTACACCTACTATATGAGTGCAATAGTTCAGTTAAAGGGACTTTGAAATGTTCACTGGGTGTATTCGGAACAAAAGCGGTGACAATCCACCCAGCGGAGAATAAATAAGGGAACTTGTTTTTCAACCTCAGCTTGATATCAGGAATGTCCTTACAGGAAAACATTTTATTGTTTTCTAAAGCTTAAACTGTGAAATAACCCTTAAAAATCTTTATTTGCTCTAATATATAATACACATAGAACCAAACATTGCAGAAAAAATGTGTTGTTGAAGGCTTTCGTGGCTGAAATTATTGGGTTGCTGTAAGTTTTCCGGGCTGTATGGCCATGTTCCAGAAGCATTCTCTCCTGACGCTTCACCCACATGTATGGCAGGCATCCTCAGAGGTTGTTTTTAATATATATGGGTTATTGTGATAATATTATGCTTAAGTTGTTTTGTTAATTTTATGTCATGCTGTTTTGGTGATGTTACTTGCAAACTGCCGTAAGTCCCCCTCGGGGAGATAGAGTGGTATATAAATAAAGTTTTATTATTATTTATTACTAGCTGTTCTCTGCCACATGTTGCTGTGGCCCAGTCTGTGTTTTATGTGTATATGTATGTGCATATGTGTATATATGTGGTTTTGCGCATGCCCTGTAGCGTCTTTTTGCTTTTCTGGCTTTTTAAGTCCCTTCCACTGTGTTTTCCAGTGTTTTTATGAGTGATGGGTCACCCGTAGGCCTGATACATGTATTATGCCCAAATTTAGTGTCAATTCGTCCAGTGGTTTTTGAGTTCTGTTAATCCCACAAACGAACATTACATTTTTATTTATATAGATTGTGAGGTCTGTTGTAAACTAGGCAAGTGAGGTTTATATATCTGTGGAACGTCCAGGGTGGGAGAAATAACTCTTTGTCTATTTGAGGCAGGTGTGAATGGTGCAATTGGCCACCTTGGTTAGCATTGAATGGCCTTGCAGCTTCAAAGCCTGGCTTCTTCCTATCTGGGGGGAATCAACACTCAAATAACACTCAAATAACAGGAGAATTCCATACAGTAATCAATGAGGGCCAGCTAACACTTCCCAACGAAGTGGGCCCCTTGGCTCTGGAACTCACTCCCCAAGGACATCAGGCATGCCCCAACTCTGGCAGTCTTTAGGAGGAGCCTGAAAATGTGCTTGTTCCAGTGTGCCTTCCCAGAATAAGGAATCTCCCAGCAATATGTCCTTATATGCACTTTATTAATGATCTAGGATTGTCTGCACGCCCCATCCCTCTCCGAAAACTCTATCCTAGTTATATTTCACCTGTTTATGCTCAGCATTATTTCTAAAATTTTAATTATTACATTTGGCCCAGCCATAGGTTTTTAAACGTCGGTGTATTACTGTTAATGTCTATTGCTTATTTTTTGTTATGAGCTTTATATTATTGCTTGTTTTATTGTTGTTATTGTTTGTATTACTGATGTATTGTGGGCTCGGCCTCATGTAAGCTGCACCGAGTCCCTTGGGGAGATGGTAGCGGGGTATAAATAAAGTTTTATTATTATTATTATTTCCTTAGGCAGGAAGCAGCCAGGCTTTGAAGCTGCAAAGCTATTCAATGCTAATCAAGGTGGCCAATTGCAACATTCACACTTGCCTTTTACAGACAAATGATTCTTTCTCTCATCCTGGACATTCCACAGATATATAAGTCTCACTTGCCCAGTTTCCAACAGATCTCACAACCTCTGAGGATGACTGCCATAGATGTGGGTGAAACGTCAGGAGAGAATGCTTCCGGAACATGGCCATTCAGCCCGGGAAAATTCACAGCAGAAAAATATCATAAAGAAAGGCAATCTCTAAATACACAAGATTAATATAAAGCCAAATAAGCCTCCTTAATATAAGCTAATAATATTAAAGTCTTTGGGCATAAAACTGTTCAATTTCAACCACTGAAAACAATTTTCTTCATTCTGCACCTCTATATTAAATGCTTTAAAATCTGGCACTTGGATGCCACCAGGTGGAGGAAGGATCTTCTAGTCCAACACACCCATGTCCTAGTAGTAGTGAATTTAGTACACAAAGCATGCTTAATTTATTACACCTTCCATATTTGACTGGCAGATATATTCACAGACGCAAAAACACATCACCATCCGGTTTTGTTACAATATGGAGTTGAAGCTGATTTAATTGACAACATTGTCTCTTGATGTATACAAGATAATCAAAGTTATACAACTTGAAATTATTTTTACCGTGGCACAAAAATAAGAAAACAAACAAACTGGTACCTGTTGGTGGCACAAGTATCCTCTCCTTGTTCAACACTGTGCCCATTGCCATGTCCCTTTATCAGGAAAGATTGTCTGTAGTTTGGGGGATTGGTTTCACAAGTATCCCAGTGACACTTAACTGTACATTGCCTCTGTCCATTTCCAGTAAAGCTGGAAGTAGTAGGTGAGAGTGAAGAATGATGAGGGTGAACACATTCCAGCTCAATCCAGACAAGACAGAGGCACTCCTGGTCCGTCAAAAGGCAGATCAGGCAGCAGGAATTCAGATTAAGGCCCCTTCTACACCATCCTTATACCCCAGGATCTGATCCCAGGTTATCTGCTTTAAACTGGATGATATAAGAAGACAATCTGGAATATATGGACAATGTAGAAGGGGCCTGTGCTAGAGGAGGTCACAGTCTTTTTGAACTCTCAGGTTCATAGTTTGGGTGTCGTCCAGGACTCATCTATGAGACTAAGGCCTCATCTACACTTATTATTTAAGGTACCGTATATACTTGAGTATAAGCTGAGGCATCTAATTTTACCACAAAAGACCTGGGAAAACGTACTGACTCGAGTATAAGCCGAGGGTAGGAAATGCAGCAGCTGCTGGTAAATTTCAAAATAAAAATAGATACCTTACATTAATTGAGGCATCCGTAGGTGAAATGTTTTTGAATATTTACATACAGCTGTAATTTAAGATAAGACTATCCAACTCTGACCTCACAACCTCTGGGGATACCTGATCTAAATGCAGGCGAAACGTCAGAAGAGAATGCTTCTAGAACATGGCCATATAGTTTGAAAAACCTCCAACAACCCATTTTCTGCCTTGATATTCTGGGTTATATGGCTGTATGGAATAATAATAGTAATAATAATAATAAGCCTCAGAAAACTCCATGATAGGATCACCTTAAGTCAGAAATGACTTGAAGACACAAAACAACAATGACGTTTTCATTTGTGCTGTTAGCCATCTTAAGAGATGTATTGGGAGAGAGGCAGGATATACATCAAATAGCTATATTTTCTTTTGTAAAATGCATTTGTTTTAAAATCTATATTAAATATAATGAAGGACAGCACTTGGGCTTTTGAATAGCCCTGTAAAATATAATAGGCAATTGCTTTTACCTACTATTTAAGATGCAGAAACTCTCTTTTCTTTTGCATGTGGCTACTCTGTTGACTGAGACCCCTTCTACACTGTAAAATCCAGACTATCTGCTTTGAACTGGAATATATGGCAGTGCAGACTCATATAATCCAGTTCAAATCAGATAATCTGAGTTATTTGCTTTGATTATCTAGACCAGGGATCCACAAACTTTTTAAACAGAGGGTCAGGTCACAACACCTCAAACTGTTGGAGGGCCGGATTATAATTTGAAAAAAGCATGAATGAATTYCTATGCACACTGCATATATCTTATTTGTAGTGCAAAAAACACTTTAAAACAATGCAATAATTAAAATGAAGTACAATATAAACTTATTAGTATTTCAATGGGAAGTGTGGSCCTGCTTTTGGCTGATGAGATAGGATTGTTGTTGTGTGCTTTCAAGTTGTTTCAGACTTAGGTTGACCCTGAGCGAGGGCCGGGTAAATGACGTTGGAGGGCCATATCCGGGYCCCGGGCCATAGTTTGAGGACCCCTGATCTAGAGTATATAGTAGTTGAAGGAACTTGGGACGATAAACAAACCACAAACACACATTGACATTCTTAAAAAGAAAACAAGAGGCAAGTAGAAGGTAGCCTTGGAAAGAAATTATATAGCTTGGTCAAWTATCTGGCAAACKCTTTGGATTTAGGTTGCTGTGAGTTTTCCAGGCTGTATGGCCATGTTCCAGAAGCATTCTCTCCTGACATTTCACCCACATTTATGGCAGGCATCCTCAGAGGTTGTGAGGTCTGTTGGAAATTAGGAAAATGAGGTCTCTGTATCTGTGGAATATCCAGGGTGGATGAAAGAACTCGTGTCTGTTGGAGGCAAGTGTGAATGTTGCAAYTGGCCAGCTTGATTAGCACCAAATAGCCTTGCAGCTTCAAAGCCTGGCTGCTTCCTACCTGGGGAATCCTTTGTTGGGAGGATTTAAACAAGGCTACATCAATAACAGGCAAGATCCTTCTTGATAACCCCATGTTAAGAGTATAATCATGATTATGTTTATTGGAATGTTATTTTGTTACTGTGTTTAAACTTTTTTTTTCTATGTAATTTTGATGATGTTGCTTGTTGTTTATGTTCTGGTTTTATTTTGCTGTAACATGCTGTCCGGGTTTGGCCCCATGTAAGCCGCTCTGAGTCCCCACTGGGGAGATGGTGGCGGGGTATAAATAAAGTTTGTTGTTGTTGTTGTTATTATTGTGTACAACATATAGATTTATCAAAGTGATGGAAATCATTCTATTTGCTTACTCTTCGAATAATCCCTGTTGGTATGGATTTTACATTATCTGCTTACATTAAATATTATGTAATATTGCTGCATCTTTACTTTTGGATTAATGATTGATCCTTAATGTACCATCGGTGTTGTTCCGAAGGTCACCGATAAGTAAGTTAGCCCGTGTTTTGACTTGTTTTCTATCGAAGGCAACAAGTTATACAAAAAACGAATGTGAAATTCGGCAAGGAATGCTTTTGTTGTTTTGTCTTCAAGTGGCTTCTGATTTATAGTAACCACAAGCAAAACCTATCACAGGGTTTTCTTAGCAAGCTTGGCTCAGAGTAGGTTTACCTTTGCCTTCCTCTAAGGCTGAGACTTGCCCAAAGTCACCTAGTGGGTTCTCATGGCCAAGTGGAGATTTGAAATCTAGAACCCTAGTACAGTGATAATAACATCCCTCATTCACATTTGTGTAATCTTGTAAAATTCAATTTATTAGCAGATTGTGCTGATACTGCCACCAACTGCTAGGAGATGAAATAACACTGTTTTCTGGGAGGTATGGCCACGTTGCAGAAGCATTCTCTCCTGACATTTCACCCACATCTATGGCAGGCATCCTCAGAGGTTGTGAAGTCTGTTGGAAACTAGGCAAGTGAGATTTATTATATCTGTGGAATTTCCAGGGTGGGAGAAAGAACTCTTGTCTGTTTGAGGCAAGTGTGTATGTTGCAATTGGCCACCTTGATGAGCACTGATTAAATAAATAAATTAGCCACCTTGATGAGCACTAAATAAATAAACAAACACACAAACCATGATGTATTGATGCACACTGAGGGCTTTCTTTCATGCACTTTCATGGGCATTTGTTGTCTAGCCACTGCAGCTTGAAGCTAACTGAATTACCGTCTATACTTGAGTATAAGCCGAGCTTTTCAGTCCTTTTTAGGCTGAAAAAGCCCCCCTTGGCTTATACTTGAGTCAAAGTTATTTATTATTTCATTCTATTATTACTGTTGTTGTTATTGTTAGATAAGAGTTCTTTTTCCCACCCAGGACATTGCACAGATATAATAAACCTCACTTGCTTAGTTTCCAGCAGACCTCACAACCTCTACGGGTGCCTGCCATAGATGTGGGTGGAATGTCAGGAGAGAATGCTTCTGGAACATTTATTTATTTATTTACATTATTTCTATCCGGCCCATTTCAGCCCGAAGGTGACTCTGGGCGGTATACACAGTTGGCACAATTTGATGCCGAACAAAATACATACATTGATAAACATGGCCATACCATCTGGAAAACTCACAGCAATCCTGTATGTTTCCTCTTTTCTTCACATAATAATTAAGCCGTTGAAAGACTGATCTATGCTGAATTTGTTGTTACAATAAGTGCTATTTCTGCAACCTTCAAAGCAGATTCAGGAGCATAGAAACTAATTGTAATTTTTAAAAAAACTTTAGCTGATCCTGAAGAAAATGTCTCAGATCATGCTAACTTTGTCCCTTAAGGTGAAAATACACTGTACTAATCCAATTTGACTGCCATGGCTCAGTGCTATGGAATCGTGGCCAGGTATTGGATAAAAATAAATTCAGGGATCATTCTCCCCAGTAGATCTTGCAATTCTTTTACTAGATGCATGGCATTGTATACACTTCCCCTTTCACTATTATGTATATTTTGCTTTTGATAATATCAGAAAGCTTTACCAAGCATGGATTGGCTTTTATAAAGTGGTCCAAGCGCATCAAGGAGCAAAGAGCTGTCTCAATACTGTCAAGACAAAGAACCACAACAGAGAATGTGTATTTCCCCTTCTTGCCCTACGTCTGCCCCTCTAGATCCTTTTACCTTTTGCTCTCCAAAACAGCTTGGTCCAAATGCTTGAAGATATCCTGGAAAAGATTGCAGCTGGAGCGGCTGTTGATCTCATGTCCATAGGCCCTCTTCCAATACTGCTTTAGATCATTCAGATATTCAAGTACCTACAATCAAGACATTATATGTTACATGAAAGGAAGCATGAGGGTTGAATGAAAAGTAATGCCTCCAACTTCGTAACTCAACGGATGGCAGTACTGGTATGCGGCAAGTACTGGCTTGTTCAGTAGACTCTCCCTTACAGTTCCATTTTGGCGGGAAGCCTTAGCATTGAATGGTTGTGTTGTTAAAGTGCGAAGTATGGAACCCTGCGCAGACTGTCAGTCAATGCGACTTAAGCAACGTGCAGTCATTGAATTCTTGACAGCAGAAGATGTCACTTCAAAGGAAATTTATCAGAGAATGCAAGCTGCTTATGGTGATTGTGTTGATGTGAGTACTGTGCATCGTTGGGTGAGTAAGTTTAAAGATGTTGAGATGACACCTTCTGCTGTTCAATGACTGCATGTTGCTTAAGTCACCTTGACCGACCGACTGCGCAAGGTTCCATACTTCGCACTTTAACAACACAACCGTTCAATGCTAAGGCTTCCCACCAAAATGGAACTGTAGAGGAGAGTCTACTGAACAAGCCAGTACCTGCTACATACCAGTACTGCCATCTGTTGAGGGGTTACAAAGGTGGAGGCATTACTTTTCATTCAATCCTTGTATTCCAGACTTCATATGCTATCCCACCTCATTATTAAGCCCTAAAGCAATGGTTTTTAAATTATCCTCTCTTCCACTTTTTATTTGTTTTTATGAGCCAAATACGGACAGCTCCCAAGTTAAGAACAAGATAGGTTCTGCAGGTTTGTTCTTAAGTTGACACTGTTTTAATGAGTATTTATTGAATTATGTTTTATTACATCTGTTATGATTTTATTGATGTTAAAGTTTTTATATTGTAATTGTGTTTTTGGTGGCATTGAATTTTGCCTTGTAAACCGCCTCGAGTCACCGGAAGGCTGAGAGGGGCGGTATACAAATACAGTAAATAAATAAATACAGTAAATAAAACCTATATGTCTTGTCTGGAGTTACACTTAACAATGTACCTGATCCAACTTACAAATTCAACAGGACGTCCTGTGAGAGAAACTACTGAGTTTCACAAGCAAAAGTTTGACAGATTGATTCACAACGATCATCGTATCACTCAGAGAGAAATTTCAAGCATAATCGGCATTTCACAAGAATGTGTGGGTCACATTATTGCTTTGCTTGGCTATCAAAATATTTGTGCACGATGAGTTATGAAACTCGGTGGTTGCTGTCACAGGACATCCAACTCTTTGTTTGTCACACAAGTCAGATGTTCCCACCTCAACATCTTTAAACTTTCTCACCCAACGACGCACAGTACTCACATCAACACAATCACCAGAAGCAGCTTGCATTCTCTGATAAATCTCCATACTTCGCACTTTAACAACACAACCGTCCCATGCTACGGCTTCTCATTACGTTCCAGGCCTACCCGCGATGTGAAAAACAGTGATGTAGGGATGCTCTCTCTCTCTCTCTCTATATATATATATGAAATGCTTGCCCGACTTACTGGGCAAGGGCCGTTGCGGTGGTGGGCACCCTCCCGCTGGCCATACTACTTGCAGGGGCTTCTTCTTCCCAGAAGCCTCCTGTGTGGTGGGAAGTCTCTCACTGCTTGACCAGCTGGCCAACCAGCAGCAGGCCTTGCCCGGTCCTGGATTGGTCAGGGCTGGCTTCCCCACCTCGTCCTAGAAGCCTTTGCAGGGCTCCATGGCTGGAGTGAGATGGGGAAGCCAGCCCTGGCCGACCCAACCAGCGAATCGGCCAGGACCAGCTTCCACATCTTGCCCTGGCAGCCATGGAGGCCCAGGGCAGCGCTGCAAAGGTTGCTGTGGCGAGATGGGGAAGCCGGCCCTGGCTGATCCGCTGGTTGGATCGGCCAGGGCCGGCTTCCCCATCTTGCCCCAACAGCCTTTGCAGAGCTGCCCTAGGCTTCTGAAGGGCTGCTGGGGCGAGGTGGGAAAGCCGGCCCTGGCCGATCCAACCAGCAGCAGACTCCGCCCCTGGAATTGACCAGGACTGGCTTCCCCATCTCGCCCTGGCAGACACGGACTCGGTGTTTCATGGTTAGGGTTTAGAACATCAATTTTAAACCCTAACCGCAAAACAGCGAGTCTGCGGAAAGCGAATTGCAAAACAGCAAAGGAACACTGTACTTACCTTGGCATCATCTGTATTGAAGAGTGAACACCAGGGGGAGTTGGTATTTTTTATCGTTAGCCCAAAGGAACAAGTGAAAAATGCCACTTGAATCAAATCTGTAAGAAAGATGAGCAAGTTGATAAGACATTATCTTGGCTTCAACCCTATAGAGATGACATAAACAGCAGCAAAATACTCACACAAAAAGGCAGAACATAAAGATCATCTCAACTGTGAACAAAACAGAACTTTTACAGGACCGTTTTGCATTGTACAACAAAGAAAAAACAGATAATATATCAAATAGATATATAGCTCTATACACAGCCTACTACTTCAATGACATTATTCTACATCCATTGTTTACAGGAGACAACAGGTATTTAGCAAAAACTGAACAAAAAAATCGATGAGCCAGAGAATCTAAAGTTTACTATAATCTTCACACAGTATAAACATTGTGTACAGATTGCACTGATTTGATTAGTATGAGCAAGAATGTAAAAATGCCTAGAGATTTATTATTATTATTATTATTATTATTATTATTATTATTATTATTTACTATTCTTGTATACCGCTGTATCTCAAGCCCGAGGGCGACTCACAGCGGTTTCCAAACAGCAAAGACAATAAAAACAACAGTAATTAATATACAGTAACAGTTAAATTACGCATTTCCCTTAATCACTAATAAGCAATCATCAATACACAGATATCACAATCCCCTCCCTAATCGCCTCATCATCCAAGCGTAATCCAAATTCGTCGTCCATTGTTCCGTTCCTATGTTCAAATTACCAAAATTGCACTGAATTACTCAAACGCCTGCACAAACATCCAGGTCTTCAGCTTTCTACGGAATGTCATGAGAGATGGTGCCAGCCTAACGTCTACAGGAAGGGCGTTCCACAGCCGAGGAGCCACCACCGAGAAGGCCCTATCTCTCGTCCCCGCCAACCAGTGTTCTTCAGTACAATAACTTACCCAACTGATTAAAATGGCCAGTTGTATAAATAAACATACATTTTGCTTTAAGGCCCCATGCTAAAACTTTATAAGCATCTTATATGCTATAAAAACTATAAAAACATATGCCTAAATCCTATTGTGAGTCTCAATTATGGTCCATTCAGTAAAATGGATTTACCTATGTGTGGACTCATCGTACAATCACTGATTAAATGGGTTTATTCTCATTGGAGGAACCAACAAAACTGCAGCCATGCTGTGTTTGAATGTACTCAAATACTTTCACCCTTTACCTACTCGTCTTTCAATCTGTCATTCTTAATTTTTCAATGTTTAAGTTAGTTAAAAGTTAACTGTGCCAGAGTGAAGAGAGGGGGGGCCAGAGGACAGTTCCACCTTGTCTCCTGTGCTATGCTAATAATATAATATAATATAATATAATATAATATAATATAATATAATATAATATCGTAATATAATGTATAGTATATACATGTAATATTTATAATATTATAACATAATGCAATACAATACTACTACTACTAATATGATAACTATATATTTATATTACATGGAATATTACTAATAATTTTACAATATAATGGTATAGTACAATATCGTAATATTTAATACTGATATTGTATTATGCTAATAATATAATATATTGTATCTATATATACCTTGTAAGCCGCTCTGAGTCCCCTTCAGGGTGAGAAGGGTGGCATATAAATGTCGTCATACACACACACACACACACACACACTAGCTGTGCCCTGTCACGTGTTGCTGTAGCCTATAGTAAGAATTTTCAAAGTAGAGGTAGATATCTGGACTATTATGAAAGAGAGGTACCTACCTATTCCTTCCCCCTTTTTCTTCCCCTTCCTCTCCTTTCTTCCTTCTCTACTCTTTCTTTCATTCCTTCTTTCGCTCTTTGGTTCCATCCTTCCTTCTCTCTTTCCTTCCTTCCCTCCCCCTTTCTCTACTTCTTTCTTTGTCTCCTTTCTTCCCTCCCTGTTTCCTTCCTTCTTTCACTTTTTTATTTCCTTTTCTCCTTCCTTCTTTCTTTACTTCTTTTCCATCCATTTTTCCATGAAATGCATCCAAATGCATTTCCATCCATTTTTCTTTCCTTTCTACTTTCTCTTCTTCCTTCCTTCGGTACCTCTTGCTTTCCTTCTTTTCCTTCCTTCCCTCCTTCTCTCTTTTCTTTCTTCCCCCTTTCCCTCCTTCATTCCTTCCCCTTTTCCCTCCCTCCTATCTTCTCTACTTCGTTCCTGTCTGTTCTCCCCAATACTATGGTAGAGTCCCTTCTGACTCTATTCTATGAGTCTATTTAATATAGTAATATATAGTAGTAACATTATATTATATAGTAGTATATATAATAATATATATAATATAATATATATGTATTATATAGTAATATATATAATAGTAATATATAAAGTATTGTAATTATATATATATATATATATATATATATATATATATATATATATATACACACACACACCAACCAGTGATCCAACATCCATCCGTGTGTGTGTGTATGCGTGTACATGTGTGCATGTGTCTACACTGCCATATAATTCAGTCCTATGTAGATAATCTGGATTTTACATGGCAGTGTGGAAGGGTTGACTTTGGGTGCATCTACACTGTAGATTTAATAAAAGAGAATGAAACTGGTGAGGGGAGGAGAAAAAGGAAGAAAAGAAAGGAAGGGAAGTAGAGAAAGGAAGGCAGGTAGGAGGGGGTTGGACCAGATGGCCTTTAAGACTCCCTTTCAACTGGTTGGCCATCCATTATGAGGGCTTTGATGGTGTCTTCCTTTACTGCCAAATGAGGTTGGGCTGGATGGTCTTTGGGGCTCCTTTCCAAGCAATGTCAGTTTCGTGTGTCCCTATTACCCCCATCGTGGCACCTTCCTCCTTCCCTTGTGCTGTGGGAGTGTGTGTGTGGGAGATAGTCAGAATGTGTGCACAGACTGTGGCCCACCTCCCTCTTTTTTCCTTCCCCCCCTCCTCCTCCCCCTCCCCCTCAGCCTCTGCCCTTAGATCCCTTGCCTTAGTGTTCATTAGGGGCTGCGGCTGCTTCAGAACTTTCATTCTGTGTCCTCAGCATGAGGGGGGCAGGGGAGGTGTGTTGCCATCTTCCTTTTTTGAATTTAAAGGTGTTTTTGTGGGGTTTTTTTCAGTGATGGTCACTCCTTGGATTGTGAGGAGTTTTATTGCCAAATTTGGGGTCATTTGGCCCCGTAGTTTTTTTTTGTTTTTAAGCCACTCATTATGCACAGAACATACATACATATATATGGTTCTAGCTACTGAGCTCGCTGATAGTAAATGTTTTGCTGGTAATGATATCCTACGGTTAAAAAGGACTGACATACCGATGTGGTAAAAAGCACAGATGTTTGCATGCACCATTACCTGAAAACGGCAAGAAAATGCTGGCAGCTTATTCCCACTCCACATTTAATCATGCAAAGTTTTCCAACCGTCTTCTACAGATTGCAGCTCAGAGCTTTCAGTTCTCAGTCTGGGTGGCCAAAGTGTGCACACTGCACAAGTCACAGCACATGCAATGGCTACAGTTTGGCACAAAATAGGCAAAAAATTACAGACTGTCTGTTCTGTTTAGCAGTTGCCCACATTCAAAAACATGTTCAACACTTCATGCTGAGCCAATACAGAGTTCAGAAAGTTCCAAGATATTACCTGCATTTAGCTCACTCACTGGTAAACACAGGGTCCTTGCAATTTTATCCACTAGTGTCTTCATTTCAGGACCATCCTTAAAAGCGTCCATCTCACGCAAAGCCGTGCTGTTGTCTTCTACACCTTTGACAAACTTTTCACAGTGATCAAAAAATCGCATCAGTTTGTCGTTCACTTCAAAGGTTTCTTTCAAACTGCCTGAAAAAGAAAGTTATGGAACCAGGTCATCTCAAATGCATAAATTATTCATATAAACTAGTTTAAATGTTGAGTTGCAAGCAATAAGAACGTAAAAATCCCCAGCTGTAATTTGTTGAAAGGAGAGAAAATATTAATGTGGTTCATGCTCTGGATACCTCTAGTATAGATTACTGCAATGCTCTCTAAGTAGGGCTGCCTTTGAAGACGGTTCAGAAGCTTCAATTGGTCCAACGGGCGGCAGCCAGGTTGCTCCCTGGAGCAGCATACAGGAACCATACCATCCCCTTGTTACATCAGCTCCACTGGCTGCCAGTCTGCTACCGAGCACAATTCAAGGTGCTGGTTTTAGCCTTTAAAACCCTAAATGGTTCTGGCCCAATCTACCTGTCCAAATGTATATCCTCCTATGAACTATTTCCAAGCCTAATATTGTCTGGGGAGGCCCTGCTCTTTTGTCCCGCCTTCCTTGCAGGTGTGACTGGCAGGGACAAGAGACAGGGCTTTCTCAGTGGTGGCACCCCGGTTGTGGAATTCCTTCCCAGAGACATCAGATCAGCCCACTTCCTCCTGACCTTTCATAAGAAAGCAAAAACATGGCTTTGCAACCAATCTTTTGGAGAACTTGAGAAATAGACAGATTTGGAATTGATGTGCGCTGACTAACTGGAATGGCCGGATTACGTGTGAGGATCATGTGATTAAACGCTAATGCAATGTTTTATATGTTTTCTAAACTGTTTTAATGTACTTTATAACTCTATTTAAATGTTTGTAGGCGAACTATAAATCCCAGCAACTACTACTCCCAAATGAAAAAATCATTTTTTGTGATGGTCACTCCTTGGGTTAGTAGGTGTCTTGTGGCCAAATTTGGTGGCAATTCGTCCAGTGGTTTTTGAGTTATGTTAATCCCACAAACGAATATTACATTTTTATTAATATAGACTAGCCGTCCCCTGCCATGCGTTGCTGTGGCCCCGTCTGGTGATCTGGAAAATAAAGTAATGAGAAAGTGTTGGTTTCTAACATATGTAATTTCTTTATGCTTGTTGGTAAACGGTATTTCTTGCTGTTTCTTTGTCAGTGTTGTTGTACAGGTAGTTTAGTTTGCCTACTCTGGAAGATGCAACATATAATTGTCCTTTTCAAATCTATGATAGTATATCTCTCATATACATGTGTGTGTTTGGCCCAATTCTATCATTGGTGGGGTTCAGAATGCTCTTTGATTGTAGGTGAACTATAAATCCCAGTTACTTCAACTCCCAAATGTCAAGGTCTATTTCCCGCAAACTCCATCAGTGTTCACATTTGGGCATATTGAGTATCCGTGCCAAGTTTGGTCCTGATCCATCATTGTTTGAGTCCACCGTGCTCTCTGGATGTGGGTGAACTACAACTTCCAAACTCAAGGTCAATGCCCACCAAACACTATATGGTTCCAGCCCAGCGTACCTGTCCAAACGTATCTCCTTCTACGTCCCACCTCGGAGTTTAAGATCTTCCGGGGAGGCCCTGCTCTCGGCCCCGCCTCTGTCGCAAACGCGCTTGGCGAGGACGAGGAATAGGGCCTTCTCGGTGGTGGCCCCCCGCCTGTGGAACTCGGTCTCCGGCAAAATTAGATTATCTACGTCCCTCCTTTCCTCTAGAAACAAGTTAAAAACGTGGATGGGACCAGGCCTTTGGGCAATCATGCGGACAATGACAATGGCTTCAAACTGCAAGAAAGGAGATTCCATCTGAACATGAGGAAGAACTTCCTGAATCATAGAATCATAGAGTTGGAAGAGACCTCATGGGCCATCCAGTCCAACCCCCTGCCAAGAAGCAGGAATATTGCATTCAAATCACCCCTGACAGATGGCCATCCAGCCTCTGTTTAAAAGCTTCCAAAGAAGGAGCCTCCACCACACTCCGGGACAGAGAGTTCCACTGCTGAACGGCTCTCAAAGTCAGGAAGTTCTTCCTCATGTTCAGATGGAATCTCCTCTCTTGTAGTTTGAAGCCATTGTTCCGCGTCCTAGTCTCCAAAGAAGCAGAAAACAAGCTTGCTCCCTCCTCCCTGTGGCTTCCTCTCACATATTTATACATGGCATATCTCTCATTCCATTGCATCCTAGTCTCCAGGGAAGCAGAAAACAAGCTTGCTCCCTCCTCCTGTGGCTTCCTCTCACATATTTATATATATTAGAAGGGGCGGCTCGTCCATTACGCGAAGTAAGCGGTCGCAGAACACTTTTTTTTGCCAGGGGCGCAGAGGCGCCTCTGTAAATGCCCCTCGACCGCCACTTGAGGAGCGCCCCCTCAGCTCACAACAGCCCTAGCAGTCCGGGGGGAGCCTCGGCTTTCTTGCCTTGCTGCCGGGCGATCCTCTTCCCAAAGGGGCCGGGCCCTTGAGCCTCGGCTAGCCTCTCTCGTTCCTGCTCCACCCAGCCACCGGGTGCGCGAGCAGAGCCGGCGCTCAATTGTTCTCCGCATTCGATCCCTTCCCCATGACCGGCTCCCTTTCCCGATCCTCCGGCGCTCCACCCGCCTCCTCTCCTCTCCCCAATCCACGGGTGGGCCAAGGGGCGGAGCCGCCATGCCTGGCCCGCTTTGGGTCCAGAGGCATGTCTGAAGACCCCAGTGTGCGCACCAAAAGTCGCCTCTTCTCCTGACTTTCTCTTCAGCCATTGGGACCAAGAGAGAGAGAGAGAGAGAGAGAGAGAGAGCCCTCCGGCTGGAGGTATCTCCCACCTCCGCTCCCTCCTTTGTTTTTGCGCCTACCTTCAGGAAAGGTGGGCATCTCCACCTCTCTCTCTCTCTCTCTCTCTCTCGGTCCCAATGGCTGAGGAGAAAGTCAGGAGAAGAGGTGACTTTGGTCTTCAGGCACGCCTCCGGACACAAAGCGGGCCAGGCAAGGGAGCAAATGCGGCAAGTGTAGTTACTGGGATGTATAGTTCACCTACAATCAAAGAGCATTCTGAATTCCACCAATGATGGAATTGAACCAAATATGGCACACAGAACTCCCACGACGAACAGAAAATATATATCAATGATTGGTTGGGGGGAGGGGTGCCAAAATACTGTTTGCTTACCATTGAAAATTACCTAGGGCCGCCTCTGCTATCATATCTCCTCTCAGCCTTCTCTTCTTCAGGCTAAACATGCCCAGCTCCTTAAGCCGCTCCTCATAGGGCTTGCTCTCTGACTGTGAGAGCTGTTCAGCAGTGGAACTCTCTGCCCCGGAGTGTGGTGGAGGCTCCTTCTTTGGAAGCTTTTAAACAGAGGCTGGATGGCCATCTGACGGGAGTGCTTTGAATGCAATATTCCTGCTTCCTGGCAGGGGGTTGGACGGGATGGGTCATGAGGTCTCTTCTTAGTCTATGTGTGTCTGTCTACAGCTGAGTGTCTTCAGGCTACAAGTGTTATACACACACACACACGGCCATTAATCGAGAGAGTGTGTATAGTGCTAGGTGTGTAGATGTACAGCTCAACGCCCCGCCCCCCTCCACACGCCCCTCCCCTAAACACGCCCCTCCCCTAAACCCCTGCCGATTGGCTGGCTGGCTGTCTCACCGTGTCCGTGGACCTGCCGGAGCCCCTCTCGGAAGGCGGCGGCGCTGTCGAGGCATCGCGGCTTGGAGCTGCTGGCGAAGGCGAAGCTGTTCCTGGCGGAGAAGAGGGTGGGCAGGCGGGCGGCGAGGCGGCGGGCCAAGGCGCTCATGTCGCGGCGCCCCCTGGCGGCCAGGCGCCCGTCCATCTCCGGCCGCAGCCACATCGCCCAGCCGGCCAGGCGCTCGGCAGGGCGGCAAGGCGGGGAGGAGCTGCTCCGGCGGACCAGCGCCTCGTGGAGGCCGCCCAGCTTCTCGATCTGCTTCCGCGTCGGGAAGCGGGTGCCGTGGCGGATCAGGGCGCGCGCCTGGATCGGCACGCAGCTAGCCGCGGGCAAAGGGAAGCCCGGCTCCGGCGGGCCCAATGAGTAGGGGTCGGCCAGCAGGTGTGGATGGATCGCCTCGTAGCGCGATTTGGTCCCGAAGTAAGGGCTCAGGTCCGAGGCTCGCTGCGCCGCCGCGATGCCCAGGAAGAGCAGCACGAGGAGGCGCGCCATGAGGGAGAATAGCAAGGAAGGGGCGCGCGCAATGGGCCCGCAGGTGCTGATAGATCCTTAGGCCACGCCCCTTCTTCTGATTGGCCCACGCGAAGCCACATCCACCAAAGCGGAGGCGCTCAACTCCTCTCTTCCCTCTTCAAATATGTCGCTTAACTTTCAAGGCCTAGCCGAAGCCACGAGTGCCCTCAGCCAAGATGGCGGCGGTCCCGCCTCCTCTTGCCATCACGCATAGTACTAAGTACATATTCCACACAGCTGAATAAATACAGCACCCAGTCAATAATGGATCTGGACCAAACTTGACACACAGACCAAACGTGGCCAACTTGGAATACTGGCGGGGTTTTGGGGATGATTGACTCACGATTTTGGGAATTGTAGTTCACCCACATCCTGTGCCCCCGGTGGCACAGTGGATTAAAGCACTGAGTTGCTGAGCTTGTTGACCAAAAGGTCACAGGTTCAATGTATTGTCGAAGGCTTTCATGGCTGGAATCACTAGGTTCTTGTGGGTTTTTTCAGGCTACATGGCCATGTTCTAGAAGCATTCTCCTGACGTTTCGCCTGCATCTATGGCAAGCATCCTCAGAGGATGCTTGCCATAGATGCAGGCAAAATGTCAGGAGAAATGCCTCTAGAACATGGCCATATAGCCCGAAAAAACCCACAAGAACCTGGTCGCAGGTTCGATTCCAGGGAGCGGCGTGAGCTTCCGCTGTCAGCCCTAGTTTCTGCCAACCTAGTAGTTCGAAAACATGCAAATGTGAGTAGATCAATAGGTAGCGCTCCGGCGGGAAGGTAACGGCGCTCCATGCAGTCATGCCGGCCACATGACCTTGGAGGTGTCTATGGACAACGCTGGCTCTTCGGCTTAGAAATGGAGATGAGCACCACACCCCACAGTCAGACATGACTGGACTTAATGTCAGGGGACTACCTTTACCTTTACCTATGGCCATGTTCTAGAGGCATGTTGGGTTACCTTTTAGCACAGTGTTTCTCAACCTGGGGGTCGGGACCCCTGTGGGGGTCACGAGGGGGTGTCAGAGGGGTCGCCAAAGACCATCAGAAAACAGTATTTTCTGTTGGTCATGGGGGTTCTGTGTGGGAAGTTTGGCCCAATTCTATCATTGGTGGGGTTCAGAACGCTCCTTGATTGTAGGTGAACTATACATCCCAGTAACTACAACTCGCATATGTCAAGGTCTATTTTCCCTAAACCTCATCAGTGTTCACATTTGGGCATACTGAGTATCCGTACCAAGTTTGGTCCAGATCCATCATTGTTTGAGCCCATATTGCTCTCTGGATGTAGGCGAACTACAACTCCCAAACTCAAGGTCAACGCCCACCAAACCCTTCCAGGATTTTCTGTTGATCATGGGAGTTCTCTGTGCCAACTTTGGTTCAATACCATTGTTGGTGGGGTTCAGAATGCTCTTTGTTTACATATTAACTATAAATCCCAACAACTACAACTCCCAAATGACAAAATCAATGCCCCCGCCAACCCCACCAGTATTCAAATTTGGGCATACTGGGTATTTGTGCCAAATTTGCTCCAGTGAATGAAAATACATCCTGCAGATCATTATTTACATGGCCATTCATAATGTTAGGGTTATGGTTGGGGGTCACTACAACATGAGGAACTGTATTAAGGGGTCGCAGCATTAGGAAGGTTGAGAACCACTGATCTATGGCAAGCATCCTCAGATGTAGTGAGGTCTGTTGGAAATAGGACAATGGGTTTATATATCTGTGGAATGGCTGGGGTGGGGCAAGGCGCTCTTCTCTGCTGGAGCTAGGTGTGAATGTTTCAACTGATCACCTTCATTAGCATTTCAAGGCCTGGCTGAGCCTGGGAAAATCCCCTGTTGAGAGGTGTTAAGATGTGCCTGGTTGTTTCCTCTCTGCTGGACCAAACTTGGCACACAGACCCAACGTGGCCAACTTTGCCTGGAAGTGCCTGGAATACTGGCGGGGTTTTGGGGATGACTGACTCACGATTTTGGGAATTGTAGTTCACCCACATCCTTTGCCCCCGGTGGCACAGTGGATTAAAGCACTGAGCTGCTGAGCTTGTTGACCAAAAGGTCGCAGGTTCGATTCCAGGGAGCAGCGTGAGCTTCCGCTGTCAGCCCTAGCTTCTGCCAACCTAGCAGTTCGAAAACATGCAAATCTGAGTAGATCAATAGGTACCGCTCCGGCGGGAAGGTAACGGCGCTCCATTAGGTCATGCTGGCCACCATGAGGTGTCTATGGACAACGCTGGCTCTTCGGCTTAGAAATGGAGATGAGCACCACACCCCACAGTCAGACATGACTGGACTTAATGTCAGGGGAAAACCTTTACCTTTACATTGGGTTGTTGTAGGTTTTTTCGGGCTATATGGCCATGTTCTAGAGGCATTTTCTCCTTACGTTTCGCCTGCATCTATGGCAAGCATCCTCAGAGGTAGTGAGGTCTGTTGGAACTAGGAAACTGGGTTTATCTGTGGAATGACCCGGGTGAGGCAAAGGACTCTTGTCTGCTGGAGCTAGGTGTGAATGTTTCAACTAATCACCTTGATTAGCATATGATTGCCTGGAAGTGCCTGGAGCAATCCTTTGTTGAGAGGTGATTAGATGTCCTTGTTTGTTTCCTCTCTGTTGTTGTGCTGTTCTAATTTCAGAGTTTTTTTAATGGTTTCCTCCTTTCTGTTGAAATTGTCCACATGCTTATGGATTTCAATGGCTTCTCTGTGTAGTCTGACATGGTGGTTGTGAGAGTGATCCAGCATTTCTGTGGAATGACCAGGGTGGGACAAAGGACTCTTGTCTGCTGGAACTAGGTGTGAATGTTTCAACTGGCCACCTTGATTAGCATTTAATGGCTTGGAAGTGCCTGGGGGGAACCCATTTTCCTACTTCCAACAGACTTCATTACCTCTGAGGATGCTTGCCATAGATCCAGGCGAAACGTCAGGAGAAAATGCCTCTAGAACAGGGCCATATAGCCCGGAAAAACCTACAACAACCCAGTGATTCCGGCCATGAAAGCCTTCGACAATACAGTGGGCACATTCATAAAAAAGAAAACCAAAGACTGACTTTTTCTAATCTAAGCTGGGCATCACCAGGTACATAAGCGAGTGAGAGATAAAATAGGCCACATCAATCTACATACACAGAGGGGCTTTTAAATTAAAGTATACATTCATCCTAATTAACTATTGTCACTAATTAAAATCTGGTATCAGGCAATATGTTATGGTAACACAGAGAAGCCATCGAAATCCACAAGCATGTGGACAATTTCAGCAGAAAGGAGGAAACCAGGAAAATTAACAAAATCTGGGTACCAGTATTAAAAAAAACTCTAAAATTACAACAGCACAACAACAGAGAGGAAACATTCTGGGACACCTAATCACCTCTCAACAAAAGATTGCCCCAGGCACTGCCAGGCCATTATATGCTAATCAAGGTGGCCAGTTGAAACATTCACACCTAGCTCCAGCAGACAAGAATCCTTTGTCCCACCCTGGTCATTCCACAGATATATAAACCCTTTTTCCTAGTTCCAACAGACCTCACTACCTCTGAGGATGCTTGCCATAGATGCAGGCAAAACGTCAGGAGAGAATGCCTCTAGAACATGGCCATATAGCCCGAAAAATCCTACAACAACCCTGTTATGGTAATATGTTTTATGACGCATTGGGTTAAACCCTTGTGCTGGCAGAACAGCTGTTCAAATCTGGGGAGAGTGCAGATGAGCTCCCTCTGTCCGCTCCAGCTCCCCATGCAGGGACATAATAGAAGCCTCCCATAAGGATGGTAAAACATCCAGGCATCCCCTGGGCAATGGCCGTCTACAAGGACATAGCCCAGGGGATGCCCTTGCAGACGGCCAATTCTCTCACACCAGAAACAACTGTTTCTCAAGTTGCTCCTAACACAAACACACACACAGACAAACCCTCAAGCTGGGCAACAAATAAAGTACACTGTGTAACACTTTTTTTTTGTTCCTGGCTTATAAATGTCATTTCCCTAATTCAGTTTATCATAAAAACATAGAAAAATGTTTATTAAACTGCAAAAACTTTGAGTTGCTGTGAGTTTTTCGGACTGCATGGCCATGTTCCAGTAACATTCTCTACTGACATTTTGCCTGCATCTAGGTAACACCAGAATCAAGACAACCTGGATCCTAACCGGGTTAGTTTTCAGCCAATCAGAAGATATTGAAAGAGAAGGTTTAAGGATTAAATTGGACATTAAGAAACTCATCAGACTCATGTCTCCCCTCCCATTTCTATACACTTCTAAAACGTTTCATAGATGAAGTGCAACTAAGCCCTTCACATGACTCAAACCGACTTCTGGTTGTCATCTGTGGTGTTTCATCTATGAACTGTATTAGAACTGTAGAGATAGGAGGATGGGGGACAGGAGCCAGAAAAAAATCCTCTTCCGAGCTCATGATTCACATGGAAGGGGGAGAAAGCGGGGGGGGGGGGGGGGGCACAGGGGATGGGATCTGTCAAATTTGCCTGTGAAAAGGTGACGGCGCTCCATGCAGTCCTGCTGGCCATGTGACCTAGGAGGTGTCTATGGACAACGCCAGCTCTTTGGCTTGGAAATGGAGATGAGCACCGCCCGCCAGAGTTGAGCATGACTACACTTAATGGGCCAGAGCTTTAGCACAACTGGTAAATCATCAGCAATTATAAGATCTATCAACCAAACCGTTGCAAGTTCGAAGCCCTGGGTTGGCGTGAGGTACCAACTGTCAGCCAAGCTCATTGTTTACATAAGAAATTCGAAAACAGCTTTAGCTGTGATTAGAGAAATTAGGTACTGCTAAAAGGGGGGGGGGAGGTGTTTTACGATGCCATAAAGAAAGGAGATCAGATAATTCAGGGTGATCAAAAGAAAGGATGAAGTCCTAACGGCTCTTTGTCATAGATGAAAGAGCAACAGCACCCCCCTGGTACCTCCTTCTGTTCTGTCTGTCTGTGTTTTGTCTATACAAAGTGGCATTGAATGTTTGCCATGTATGTGTACTGTGATCTGCCCTGAGTCCCCTTCA